TGTGAACAGGCATATATTAGCCTCAAGAGTATATGTGTCTCAGAGTTTGTCTCAAACTGAATTGACTTGATGGTATCTTATGATCGTTCATTGGCAATAATATACATATGCGACCAATGACGGATTTCAAAGTATATCGTACCGCATCAGACTTCATCCAATATCATGTGGAGAGGTGTATATAAGCCTTGTGAGTATATGTATCTCAGAGTTTGTCTCGAATGAGATGATTTGATATCTTTTATGATTTGCCTTTAGTCAAGCTGCACATACTTAATTGACGACGGATTGGAAAGTATGTTGTACCATATAAAATTCCTCCAATATCATGTGGAGATGCTATATTGCCTTAAGCGTATATGTAACTTAAAATCTGTTTCAAATTGAGATGTCTTGACACTGTTTATTAACATTGGCCATTAGCCATGACATACATGGGTTGACCGACGACCTGGACCCTCAAGGCATATTGGGGCCTTCATATGATGAGTCTTAGACATATCATATCTGCATATCACATCAGGAGCATATATTTGCATATATTTTAAAAAATCGACATGTATAGTTATCCATCGTCTGTCAAGAAATCAATCTCGTGCCCCTTCAATATTTGTCTCAAGGTCATGCCCTTATGTTTATTGGTACATCAAAATGTATTTAATCTTGTATGATAACTAAAAATACACCCAACAGTCTCTCCTGAATTTTCTCTCTCCAGGTCTCTCTCTATATGCTGTATAAGAATATACACAACAATAAGCGTTAGCACTTATTTACTAAAGGTTAACACTTATTTACCCCCAAAAAAGAAGCCCTACCATTTCAATTAAATATGACGTCCATTAAGGGCTCGCACTCCTCAACCTGTTTTGAAAGAATGATTTTCTCTCTTCCTCCTGTCTCATGATGAATATCCATCTTCTTCCTTTCTCATGATGAATTTCCCTCTCTTCCTCTCTCTCCCTCCTATCTCGCACAACTTTTTCATCATATCCCTCTCTTCCCCATGTCTTTCTCCTCCTAGGATATCTCTTTCCCCCTCTCTTCTCAATAAGAGTTTCATGCTATTTTTACGCTACGTGTTCCATTCTTTAACTCACACTTAATAGTGAAGTATAGATCTCGTCCCCGTCGCCTCCCTCTCCCTCTCTCTCACCATATCTTTTTTCTTCTAGGATATTTTCCCTCCTCTCGTCAATTAGGTCCCTTGTTATTTTTGCGCTTCGTGTCATCCTTTAACTCATGCTTAATAATGTAAAATAGATATAGGGAATTTATATGCGTGTTAGATGGGGAATGAACTCATTATTTGCTTGCACGCCAACTAATAAAGTAAAAACTCACTAGTTATAATATACTTTACTTTCATAATATACAACAGATATACAAAACTAACACTTATAAAACTCCACTCTCTCTAAAGAACAAATGTATAGACCTAATTTTAAAACTGGTAATTTTCTCAAATTCCTAAACCTTAAGGACCACAATAACTTACTAAGACCCTATACTAACATTTTTCGTAGTTTGAATGCCCAGAAACTAGAACACTGACATAGTCCTAGCCTTATAAACCCCTCATTACTTTGTCGAATTGGGCAAAATTTGATTCTAAATTACAAATAGATCAATAGCTTTTTTATGGTCTAAGTTGTCTACTTTCGATATATGGTTTGGAAGTTATGGCCCGTACAATTTTGTTTACTAAAAATTCTAGAAAGTTCCAGAAACCAGTAGTGATTTTGTCCATCCCAAAAAACTTAGATAATAGTGGGAGCCTCGTCCAACCTAAAACTTGCCTAGAAACACCTTAGATAGCAGTGGGACTATTATCTAAACCAAAAATGACAAAAATTCTATCCATACGACAATGAGATTGTCGTTTGATCTAGATAAGCCTAAACGACAAAAGGACTATCGTCTAGTCTTTTTTTTTGATAATTCCAAATAATTATGAGATAATTCGTGGGATAATTATTGGAAACACATTAGAACGCATGAGAGGATTTATAAACGAACCCAAAATACGACCAACTCATCATATAAACTTTCCTGAACACCTTACTCATAACCCTGATCTTAAAGAGAGAAAAACCCTAGGCTAGTCAAAACCCTAGAATACCCTAGGTCATCCAAAAAACCATAATTTAGTAAAACCCTAATTTTAACAATTATTAATTGCCATTATTAAAGCTAACCCTAGGGAGAAATACCTAGGCACTATTTAAGAAAAAGCGAGTGAGCATGGTGTAAACAACCCGTGGTCTGATACGAGTACCAACTCGGGTCTTCGAGTGTATCGGGCCGATCTTATATTTTATTTTTCCTTTTTTTTTTAATTTTAGTTTAAATTTTATTTTTTATATTAATGTAGTTTGTTTTAATTTTTAAGGTTTTTGATAAGATTTTTAGTGATTTTGTCCCAAATCTTCCAACAGTTCTCAAAGGATCCCCATCTCTCTAGATCTGATTTCTTTTTGAATTGTAATTTGATGGACCGGACGAATTTCTACCTATCTTTAGTTTTAATACGTTCAAAGCATAAGTTTGATAGGATTTCATCTGCGATCTTGCTAGATTTCATTATAAACAACAAAATTCTCTCTCTCTCTCTCTCTCTCTCTCTCTCTCTCTCTCTCTCTCTCTCTCTCT